TTTGATGGTGTCCGGGTCATGTGACGGTGTCCCGGTCATGTTGTGATAGTGTCCCGGTCATGTTGTGATGGTGTCCCCGTCATGTCATGCTGGTGTCCCGGTCACCTTGTGATGGTGTCCCGGTTATGTTGTGATGGTGTCCCAATCATGTTGTGACGGTGTATCGGTCATGTTTTGATGGTGCCCTGGTCATTTTGTGATGGTGTCCCGGTTATGTGATGATGGTGTCCAAGGAAGAGATGGTCGATGTGTTGAAAACAGCAGCTGTTTCCAGATTTGTCTTTTTGTCCCGGTTTGTATCTTGCTATTGGGGTCTCCAGCTGGGCTAATTCTCTATTGGCAGCTTGTCCACACAGATGTACTGTAGAGATGTATGCAACTGAAACTTTGCGAGATTGCGGCAGTACTTGCAAAGAATACTGACACTGTGAGTAGCAACACCATGTACCTCATGCCCGTACCAGCGCTTGCAAATGTTTGCGAACTCCTACACATTCGCATCTCAGCTTAAAGTCGAAGTTTGTCTGCAGCTGTTTGCTTTGCAGGATTTGTCATTCGGTGCCGGTCTTAGCCCTTGTTCAAGCTGCTGCCAATGGTCTCCAAATTCAATCCTTTTCCTGTCCGCAAGAGAGTGGCAAGGGGCGAAGCGCTGTGAAGCGACCAGCTTCCACAAAGGTACGCGTGGAACGACAGCGATGGAAAGGTCTTTGATCAAGTTTCTACAAGCCAGTGATGCAGACCTCATCCACGTGCTGCGAACCGATGCTTTTGTGCCTGATTGGGAAGGGCATGTGTGCCCAGCGTGTGAGAAGGGAACCTTGTCGACTGTACAGCCACACCCTCGGACGGATGCGATGGAGCATCGCTGCAATGCTCGTGGTTGCAATGTCTACCTGAACCCTCACCATATGCAACAAGCCACTCTTTTGCTGATCAAGCTGAACAACCTCTCTTTCGCAAGTGTTCCCCATTTGCTACATGTGAATCTCTAGACCGCCGAAGACTTGGAGAATCACTTGTCTCACCTGCAGAAAACGGGTGGATGAAAACGAGACAGGAGAAGGACATTAACTTCGGGCGAGCCATGGAATGATGTTGAAGCTGACAAAGCGACATTTGACCGAAAGAGCCTTGGAGCAGATGCGCCCGACCCATCGTCATGCGTCTCGTGGAAACAGTCGCGCGGAACTGTGAACCGTGGTCATCCCAAAACACTGGTTCTCCATCCTCTCTCACCAGCTTTCAGAAAGGTTGAATGGAAGCCTTGGTCAAGGAGTGGCTCCAAGACAAGAAATTGATTTTGCACATTGACGACGCAGCTGCCTCGCCTTGTCTCACATTGTCTGCCTGACACCAAGAAGGTTGTCAAGGTGAAGGCTGGCGCGCAATGCGTTGACAGGGCTTTGGCGCTTAATGAAAGATTGCGTCAAATCCAACCAGAATCGTACAGTTGGCTCCGGCCGCTTGCGGGCTGGGTTCAGGTCAGCCCAGTACGGGTACTGGCATTGGCAGGAGGGCGGAGAGGAATTGTGCACTTGCGAAGCTTCCTGGCTTTGTCTACCTAGATTTCGCTGCCATTGGGCATGGAGGCAAAACAAAAGACTAATTTGGCTGCTGTGTGCTCCAAGTTGGTGTCATCTGATGTCAACACAACTTTACGAGAATATATAACGCCTTCTGCTTCTGTGCGACTCAGAAATATCTGTTGGCCTTGCTGAGGTCAACGCAACCACACTATACAGCAACCTAGCAAATCTTTTGTTTCTGCGTAGTTGAAAAACGTCTTGCCAATTGTCAAGGCAATTGCAAAAACAATGCAAAACATTGTTTATGTTTGTTTGTGGGGGAGGCGAGGTTAAAGAAAAACTACTGTACATATATATATATATATGTCATAGATGTATCTTCATTAGGTGTGTGCGCTCCCTTTCCATCCAAAACAATCTCCGTTCCTTCAAGGTCGTCGAATTTTTTGCCGAGAGACTCCGTCTGACGTTTGCTGGATTGCTCAGGAATGCCGGCATCTTGGGCGTGCCCAATGCCAGCGGCCCCATGAGCGACGCCGAGGGCCGCAAAAGGTGAGGGTTGCCATGTGACGAACGGGTGTCGGGCAGCACACACCCAGTGCAGCTGTTCTCATGTTTCTCTTTAAGGCGTCTTCCCATATCACAGCACAGCTATCCCTGATAAGGACCACCTTTTCTTGCTAAATGTCAGGTGGTTTTGGCGTCCAAAAAGCAAGTGGTGATGTGGCAGCTCTTCACTGCAATTTATCTTAACTCGTCTGGTTTCTTATTATGGAAACTTATTTTGATTTCACGAAGCGCCAGGGTGTTGTTCCTGTAACGGCAAACGGAGACGTCCTCTGCAGGAAGTTGAATTCGGAGCTGGCCAACGGCCGCCTTGCAATGGTCCGGGGCCTCAGCTGGGAATTTTCGAAGCCGAGGCATTCCAAAAAGGTGGCAGAAATGGTTGTGGGCCCGACAAACTAGCCCTTATGGCCAGACTAGTGAAATTGAAGCACCGGAAATATTCCAATTCAACACGTGTATATTCAAACGCAGTTATGCTTGCAACAGAACAATTTTACGAACATATTTCTTCATTAGCAATAGCTTGGGGTTGTGCTTTCTTTGGGCGGCCGGGCAGCGTTGGATCCACGGCACCCGGTGTCCCGGTGTCATTCATGTTTCGGTGTTGGCTCGCTCATGTTTGGGCGGTGTCTTGATCATACTTGGCGGTGTCTCAGTCATGTTTTGGTGGTGTCTTCTTCATTGTTCGCTCGTGTCCCTGATGATTGCTGTATCTGTACTTGCCTTACTCATGATTCGTATCAGGGTACCTGCGTCGTGCTTGGCCCTTGTAGGCATTTTAGTCGTAATCTTTGTGGTTGTTTTGGCCAAACTTGTTATGTGCCTTGAGCTTGTCATGGATTTGTAACTTTGGACTGTTGTTTTTGGTGCGTCATCATGGGTGAAAACTGCGGATGGTAAAACCAAGGGCCACGGTGAACGGACCAGGAATTTGATGCGACTTGGGCAAGGAAGCGCGTATGGTCTCAAAAAAGGTGGCTACAGATCGTCATCTGCTGTGCGCTGCTTAGCTTTCCCTGGAGTAAAATTGTAAAGTTCTTTCATTGGAGAG